AGGAGTGCGAGAAACATGTTTGAGCTGCCGCGAAGACAGGTATGTTGCCCGCGGGCCAACCACAGCTGTGCTTAAGGTCTACGCCGCCGTCAAGCCCGCGGCAATCGAGCGCGACGCCGAGCGCCTGACCAAAGAAGAGGTGTTGAGGCTGGACCAACGAGGTGGCCGCCGTCGTTTTTGAGGAGTTCACCATCTGGGTCAAGTACAGGTGTTCCGAGCGACGCCCTCCCAAAGGCGCTCGGAACGTCATGGGCTCCATGCGCGTGTTCAAATGGAAGCGCCGGAAGGGGTCGCACGGCAAGACCGTCAAGATCATCCGGTGCCGCATGGCGTTGAGGGGCGTCCGCGACGTGGACGCCAGAACCCTGGAGACGTTAGCCGGAACGGCGAGGCGGGCGTCTCAGCGCAGTTTGTCCTCAGAGGCGGCTTGTCGCCTGGACTGGGCGTGCGTCGCCGTGGACGTCGAGGAGGCGCTCCTGAAGGGCATGACAAGCACCAAAAGAGGCGAATTAAACCCTGCCGCCCAGCAGTGTGGCCGTCTTCAGGCGGGTCCCAGGTTGCGAGTCCTTCGACGAGAGGACCGGGTGCTTGCGCTGCGTCAAGCCGGGCCCGGGTTGCGAGGGTGCGCCCGCAGTTTTTTCCAAGGGGCCTGCCTGGGTCACGCGCTCGCCCGAGTGCAGCGCCAAGCCGACGTGGCGGGGCCCGGAGCTCGAGGTCAAGCGCGAGGCGTCCAGCACCTGTGGTGCATGCGTCCCAGAGTTAGTGCTCATGCTGTCCAAGCACAATGACGACCTCAATGTCGCTGGACGCAAGGAGCACGTCGACCGACTCGTCGGCCACATCGAGAGCATCTTCGGCAAAATGAAGGGTGCTTGCGACGACTTCACCAACTGCGGTGCCCACCAACACCGCAGTGCCGATGTTACGCTACACCAGGACGAATACATCGACGCGCTGTTCCCCGTCGGGCGCGTCGACCTGGTCAAGTCGAAGGCTGACTAGCGGGCAGGATGTCCACTCCCGGATCTTTGTCTCCGTCCTTGGACTCACGTAAGGCTGCGTTGCCGTCTACATCGTCGCCCTGCAACGGGCCAATAACAAGCTTATACTTAGGCGCATCATGCAGCTCCATTCCGTCGTTTTCGCCATGCAGAAGATCGAAGCGTGCGTCGTCTTCCCAACGATGGAGTACGCGGGCCAGATCTGCGTGCGCAGCGACGGCTCCTTCAAGCGCAAAGAGGAGACAGGATGCGGCATGAGAGGCGCCGTGCGCGTGCGTCTGGGCAAGTGCCGCCGTGCTGGTAATCAGATCTGTCACTTGCTCGACGCTGTTAACGATCGCAGAAAGTTGTGTGAACTTGTGTGTAGATCCTCATTCGGCTCCGAGCTGCTCGCAGCATGTGGATCGGCAGGCGGTTTACAGCGCACCTTCTCGCGCTCCGCGAGATGGCGCTTGGGCCTGCTCCTGCAGATCAGGCGGGCGGCATGTCCGTCTTCTCCGTGCTGGACTTTGGCCACCTTCGGCCGGTATCCTAGAAGAGTGTGGCAGGCCACCTGTGGTGGCCAGCATACCAGCTGCGCACCAAACAGCTATCCGACATGCTGTGGTGCGACACCCGCGACGTGAGGGCCGACGCCGTGACGAAAAAGAAGCGTCGGCCAGGAACCCATCTTCGACATCGTGGAGAGGAAGCTCGCCTACGTGCGCCCCGCGGTGAGGTTGAGCGAGGAGCGTCACCAGAAAACAGTGCCGAGCTCCAGCTTCATCAACCTCAGCAAGGACAGCGACGACGGGTGATGAACTCGCGAATCCGCCGTAGTACAGCAGGAAAATAATTACGAATGCATCCACATGTCCGAACTATGTTCGCGAAGGCAGCGTAGTGAACTGCACGAATGAGAGACTGTCCCCATGAACTGTGTTCGTGCGGCAGCAAGCCGTTGCGGGTTGGCCGCCAATGACTTTTTCTATGCCCCACCAATCTGCAGCTGCCAACCTTTGCCGTGTGGTGATCGTGGCCGTTTTTTTTTTTTTTTTTTTTTTTTTTTTTTTTTTTTTTTTTTTTTTTTTTTTTTTTTTTTTTTTTATTATTATATATATATATATATATATATATATATATATATATATATATATATATATATATATATAAAAAGACCTAGTTCACATAACGTTTCGCAACAAACAATTTTATATGAGAGGGGTGGTTTGTAGATCCTGTGCTGTAACTTTTTGGTCAGTTCGTGGTGTTTCGCTGGTAGGCCGGACGGTTTGCGTTCGGGTTGCCAACTTCGGCGCGGAGGATCCGTTTGAACACCAGAGTCGAACGGTCGGTTATCAGTGAAAGGTCGGTGCGGGAAGGTTTTTCCTTTTGTTGTTGTGTCGGCTCAACGTATTGTTCCGTGTCCGCTATAATTCACATTAAACACCTCCGTTTGTATATTTGGGCTTTATTATTATTATTATTATTATTATTATTATTATTATTATATATATAGAAAAAATCTCCCGCTCTACATTCTAGGCTTGCCTCCTGCCTTCCCCTCTCCGTCTCCCCATCCCCATCCTGCTCCTCCTCCCCCTCCTCATCCTCCCCTTCCAGCTCCCTGGTTGCCGACCTCCTCCTCGTCTTCGTCTTCGTTCTTTTCCCCCTTGACGATCCTCCCCCCCTGCCTCCCCCCACCCCCTCCTCGCTTTCGTCCTCGTCTTCGCCGTCGTCGTCGTCGTCGTCGTCCTCCGCCCGCTGTGCGTTCTCACGCGGGGTGTGCGGCGAGGGGAGGTAACAGCTTCGGCACCGTCATCATGACGGTGCTCTCCCCCCCCCTTCCTCTGACCGCTGGTGATGGGCGCGGGGAAAGACCAAAAGGGGATGCGGTGGAAAAAGGACTGGAGAGGACGAGGGGAGAACGGCGCATGATCATACTCAGGATGGAGTGAGAACGATGGGTGAGATGACGAGGTGGATAGAGACTGCGGAGAGGGACGAGCTGGAGGTGGAGGAAGAGACTTATTAATCGAGCTGCCTGCGGCAAGTCCCGCCACCCCGTGCTAGCCCAGCACCCTGGTTGGCGACTGTTCGAGGGGGCGCGGGACGCCGTCGCGTGTGCCACCTCGTGTCTGGGGTCATGACGACGGCGATGACGATGACGACACTGATGTTGCTGATGATGATGACGGTGATGATGGTGGTGACGACGACGATGATGATGTGGACGATTGTGCTGCTGATGACGACGATGATGATGCTGATTCTGATGATCATGACGATGATGGTGGTGGTGATGGTGATGATGGTCGTGGTGGTGATGGAGATTCTGATGAGGACGAGGATGACGATGATGATGATGATGATGATGATGATGATGATGATGATGGTGGTGATGATGATGATGATGATCATCATACTGATGTTGACGACGACGACTCATGATGATTCGATTGGTGGCGACGATGTTGATGCCGGATGATGGTGATGATGCCGATGATGACCGTGGCGATGATGATGCTGATGATGATGATGCTGATTTTGGTGATAATGACCATGATGAGGATGATGATGATGGTCGTGATCATGATTTGGATGATGTATATGATGAGCGACGATGGTGGCAATGATGATGATGGTGATGATGATGGTGACGATTATGATGATCATGATGATCATGATGATGATGATGCTGATCATGATGATGATGATGATGATGATGATGATGATGATGATGATGATGATTCGGATCTTGCTGTTATTGTTGTTGCTGTTGGTGTTGTTGCGGCTGCTGATTGGTGATCATGACGATGGCGACATTGTTGATGATGATGATGATGACGATGATGATGGTCGTGATTATGATTATAGTGATTGTGACGATGAAGGACTATGATGGTGATGATGATGACGATTACGATGATGATGCTGATGATGATGACGGTGTTGATGATGCTGATGATGCTGATGATGATATTGATGGTGATGATGCTGATGGTGATGATGATGCTGATGCTGACGACGATGACGAGGACGACGATGGCGATGCCGATAACGATTACGTTGGTTTGTGTTGTTGATTATGATGATGAGGAGGATGAGGAGGGGGAGCTGGAGAAGGAAGAGGAGGAGGATGATGATGACGATGATGCTGCTGATGATGACGGTGGTGGTGGTGTTGGTGATGATGATGACGATGACGATGATGATGATGATGATGATGATGATGATGATGATGATGATGATGATGATGATGATGATGATGATGATGATGATGATGATGCTGATGCTGATGCTGATGATGATGATGATGATGATGATGATGCTGATGCTGATGATGATGATGATGATGATGATGATGATGATGATGATGCTGCTGCTGCTGCTGCTGCTGATGATGATGATGATGATGATGGTGGTGGTGGTGGTGGTGGTGGTGATGGTGATGATGATAATGATCCATGGTGATGAAGCTCGTTCGGGCCGTCTTTGGGGCTGTCTTGGCCTCCCTTGAGGCAGTCTTGGGGGTCCCTTGGAACCCTCTCGGGCCGTCTTGTGGCCCCCTTACGCTGGCTTGGGGGTCTGCTGGACCTTCCTTGGGCCTTCTTTGCTGTATGGTGGGTGTCTGGGGGCCATCGTGGGGCCGTCTTGGCGCCGTCTTGGGCCGTCGAAGGGCCTTCAAGGCCGACTTGCGTCCCACGGGAAGCCCCCTTGGGCCGCTTTGGGGCCGTCTTGGATGCTTCTTGGGCCATCGTCGAGTCCTATTGAGCCGTCTTGGGCTGACGTCAGCCCGAACGTCTAGAATGCTAGACTAGTTCACAAACCCACGGGAAGTCAATGATGCTTGGCTTCTTTGGTCCCTGTTGGAGGTCCTCTCATTGCCAATTTGGGCCCTCTTGAAGGCATCTTGGGCATCTTGGGCTGGAGGTGGCCACCGAAGGTATCGAGTACCGCCCGTTGGTCTGGAGCTGCTTGGGGCGGCCCCACTGTGACGCCACTGCGGCCGTGGGCTCCATGGCGGCCGCGGCGTCGCGCCGGAGGGGAATGGCCACCTCGGCGGTGCTTGTTCGCAGGGCCAGTACTCTGGTCGACATCCAGCTCTGGCGCCGGGCTGCTGCCATGGTTTCGGCCTGTTTGCCTGTGGCCCACTCGGGTGACGCGATCGACCTGATGACACAGGCGCGGATGCGGCGCTGGCGGGAGCTGGGGCGATGGGCCGTCGACGACGGCGACGCGGCGGATGACGACGCGGCGCCCGCGGTCCGCCTGGAGAGCCCCGGGTGCGTGGGGCCCGCGGCGGACGGCGAGCGCGCGGGCGACGCTGGTGTGGCGACAGCGCGTGGGGGGTGCGCAGGGGAAGCTGGAGGCGCCGGGCCGGCCCTGGACGCTGCTGCTGTCCCCGCCGCGCGCCCCGGGCTCATGGTCGCGGCCCTGCGGCAGGGGTTCGGCCACGGGGGGCTCGGTGGAGAGGCTGGTGGCGTTGTGCTGGCCCCAGGCGCCGCTGCTGCCCCCGCCGCGCGCCTGGGGGCCCGGGTGGCTGCCTTGCGGCTGGTGCGTGGCCGTGGGCCACGGCGCTAGCAGCTGCTGGTGCCGGGGCCGCGCTGGCAGCGGCGAGTGCGGGGCGGCGGCGCGGGGGCGGCGGCGGAATGTTCAGCCGCCTCGGGGCCATCCTAGGCCGTCTTCAAGGCATCTTGTGCCGTCTTGGTGTCCTTGGTTGCTTGCGTGGGCCGTCTTGGGTACTCGGTGCGCGTGTCCATCGTGTTTTACCAGGGATCGTGGCCTGTTGGGTCCTGGAGCGTTTGGGAGCAACGCTTGGGAACGCGGGAAATCCGCGATCCTCGAGCGGGTGCGCGTGGGATGAGGGGTCTAGGAGCTAGCAGCCGTGCGGGGCGTGCGCGCTCCTCGAACGGGCGCGCTTGGGATGAGGTCTCACGTATGCGCTGCCGTGCGGGAAATGCATCATCTTCAAGCGGGCGCGCGTGGACTGGGGGTGTCGGCACTTGCTACCATGCTGGAAATACGTCCCCAGAGGGCGAGAGGGCAGTGGCCTCGGAAAGAAGGGGCGATTCACGCAAGAGTCTGCTGGTAAAGGGCGGGGCTGTCCCTTATTTGAATCTGTTGACGCTTCGCTTATTCTCGCCAGCCCATCCAGCAACGATGTCCAGGCGAGAAACATCGATCGGATAAGGTGATGAGCATGCAGTAGAAGAAGAGGGAACGCCGCTTGATCACCCAAATAGGGGGGGGGTCCGGGACCCCCCCCCTCCATTTTCCCGTTCCGTCGTCGGCGGAAGCTCCCCCCTCCCTTCCCGCTCCATCGTCGGCGGACCCCCCCCCTTCCCGATCCGTCGCCGGCGGAACCCCCCCCTTTTCAAAGGGTGGGGGGGTCCGAAGCCCCCTCCCTCCCCTTGAGCGTGAAGTTCAGACCCCCCCCTCTCCCCCCCTTCCGCCACGCGCCGCCCCGTGGCTCCGGAACCTGATCCCTGCCACACCTAACCCTCAACCCAATCCCTGCCCTACTCCCAATCCCAAACCCACCCCCCCACTCCTAACCTTAACCCCAACCCTACGCCTAAGTTTAACCTCTACCCAAACGCCTACGTTAACCTCTAATTGAAACCCTAATTACCACCCGAACCCCCAACCTACGCCCGAACCCTAAACCTTAAACCCTACTCAAGCCCAACCCCCCACCCGAACCCGTGATCTTAACCCTGACCCCTACCTTAACCCCAACCCTAACCCGTACCCGTAACCCGAATCCTACCCTTTACCTCTGACCCTGGCCCTTAACCCTAACCCTAATCCGTGGCCCTAACCCCCAAAACTAACTCTAACCCCTAACCCTACCCTAGCCCTCTAACCCTGACCCTAATCCTTACCCCTTTACCCCAAGCCTAATCAAACCCCCTAAACCCTAAACCTAACCCCCAGCCCTTCCTTAACCCCTACCCTAACTCCTAACCCCAAATCTTAATCTCTAATCCTATTATTATAAAGCCCTAAAGCCGCTAAATCCCGCATCATACGACTACATACGACTACATACGACCGGCCGGTTTTTCAAACCGGCGCCATCCCTTGCAAAACATACTATTTCCTGATCATGGGCGCAGAATCTCTTGCAATTTGCATTACACAATCTGTTCACCCATCTCCATCCTATGCAACAAAATACTATATCCTGATCATTGTTGCGCTCATTTCCTGATCATGCGTGCTGTAAGCGCCTCCCATCCCATGCAAGCCTGATGGTGCGGGTGATGGTGTCCGATTCTCCGCGGTCAACCCCCTCCATCCTATGGAGAAGATGGTACATCCTGATCATGCGTGCAGAATCCGTTGCGATTTATACTACAAATGCGCGTCCGCGGACGTAAACCCTTGTCATCCCTTGCAACAGATATTATATCCTGATCGTGCCCCTTGCCATGGCTCCCAGGTGCTCCCATGTGCTCTCAGGTGCTCCCAAGCGCTCCCAGGCGCTCCCAGGCGCTCCTCCGCGTTCGCAGGCGCTCCCAGGCGCTCCCAGGCGCTCCCAGGCGCTCCCAGGCCCTCTCACGCGCTCGAAGGTGCTCCCAGGCCTTCCCAGGAGCACCCAGGCGCTCCCAAACGCTCCCATGCGCTTCCAGACGCTCCCAAACGCTCCCAGGCGCTCCCCAAGCGCTCCCAGGCGCTCCCAAGCGCCCCCAAGCGATTCCAGGCGTTCCAGGCGTTCCCAAGCGCTCCCAGCGCTCCCAGGCGCCCGCAGGTGCTCCCAAGCGCTTCCATTCGTTGTGCTTCCAACGAGGGGAGAGATGATCTTTATGGTTGGGTGGTTTGCGGGTGGGAACGACAGCCACCGCAGGTGGGTTCTCAGGCAGGAGGGGACGCGGCCAAAATAGGATGCGGCCAAGCCTGTTGAACACTAAGAGCCTATAAAGATTTAAATCCTGAAATGCCTTCCGCGTCCCTAAAGTCCCCCCTTCGGCCGCCCCCCCCATTTTGGCGCACCCCTCACGCAGATCCTTGCCCTCGGAGCGCCAGGAATGGCGTTCTGGGAGGATCTGCAAATCCCAGGGTGCCAAACCCTTCACGCAGATCCTTGGCCTCGGAGCGCCAGGAATGGCGTTCTGGGAGGATCTGCACATCCCCCGCGCGGGGGGCTCGAACGCGCGCTTCTTGCCGGTGTCGGCGGAGGCAGCGCGGGCCGGAGAGCCGAGCAGACCCATGGCGTCCATGGCGGACGTCGAAGAGGCCAAGAGGGCAGCAGGGGGCGCGATGGAGAGCTCGAGCCGCGCTCGACGGACGCCGCGAAGCGCGATCCCATGGCGAGCGCGCCGAAGTGGGCGACGCATCGCCAAGCGTCGGCAGCCTGCCGCGGGGACCTACCCCGTTTGGCTCTCCGCGTGCTCGCGCGTCGCATCGCCGTTGCATCGGCTGTCGCGCGCTTGTCAGTCGCAAAGAGGCCCTCGCGTGGAAGCAACGAACTATCCCGCGCGCCTCGCGCGAGGCTGTGCTATGCATCGCCAAAGCAGCGGCCAGGTGCGGTTCAGTGTGGGGGAGGCCTTCCCGTTGTGTCGCTTCGCGCGCGCGCGTCGCATCGCCAATGCATCGGCCTTCGCGCGTCGCGTCGCGGGGCCAAGGAAACAAACATGGGGTGACTCTCGCCAAGCAACGACTCGCCCCGAGCGCCTCGTGTCAAGCTGCGCAATGCATCGCCAAGGCGTCGCCAAGTTGCTGCGGGGAGCATGTGATGTCGCTTCGCGCGCGCGCGTCGCATCGCCCTTGCATCGGCCTTTGCGCGCCGCGGCGCAGTCCCGAGGATGCACAGGGGGATCCCTCTCTTCGGGGCGACGAGTCATCCCGCGCGCCTTGGGCAACCACTGCGTGCAACTTCGCCGCCGCTGGGCGGCGTCCCTGCGTCGCACAGGGACTTGCGTCAATAAACGTGGATCTTGCGTGCAACCTTTCCGCCGCTGGGCGGCGTCCCTGCGTCGCACAGGGACTCGCGTCAAAAAACGTGGTTCTTCAAATCGCGTCGTCACGCGCGCGGGCCGCATCGCCGTTGCTGCCGCGTCCCAGGTGTCTTTGCGCGGCCGCGTCGTCGTCGTTTTGAAAACAATATCAACGTCGTCGTCATCGGTGTCGTCCTCGTCGTCGTTTTGCGAGTCGCGTGTTGATACCGCATCGAGATCAATATGTCCTGGGTCATGGGTGGGTGGGGCACGGTCAAGTGGGCTGCAAGTTTGGGCTAGTGGACCCTAACCCTAAACCCTAAACTCTAATCCGAACCCCCACATACCCACCTAGCCGGCCGATAGCAAACCCGCCGTCCTAACTTTCAAATAACACGAACTCAATATTTTTTCTCGCTAACATGTCGTCGAGGTGCGAAAAGTGTAGCAGGAATGGGACGGAACATCGTTCGGGTAACCCCAGGCGGGTGATCGAATCTTACCAATCAGAAACAATACAAAGTCAACGTTTTTCTCGTCAGCATGGATTTTCTTGTCGTCGACGCTGCGAAAAGTGTAGCAGGAACGGGACGCGGCGCGCATCGCGCGCGGATGCCTGGCCAACCCTACGCGGGACCCCCCCCGTCCTACCTATCAAAAAGCTCCCCAACGTCGGCGTCTTCCTTGCCAACATGTACTTTCTCCTCGTCGGCGCTGCGCATCGCGTAGCGGAAGTGGGACGACCCGCGAATTCCCAAGAGGCGTTCTCCTCTTCCTCCTCAGTTTCTCCCTCCCTCCCTCTCTCCCTCCCCTCCTCCTCCTCCTCCTCCTCCTCCTCCTCCTCCTCCTCCTTCTCATCCTCATCCTCCTCCTCCTCCTCCTCCTCCTCCTCGTCCTCCCCCTCCTCCATGCGTGGCAGGAGCGAAACGATTGGCGGTGCAGCGCGCGTGGCTGGAATGAGACGCGGCGCATGTCGCGCACTGGACATGTTGCCACCGACGGTGCAACATGAGAGGCCGGAGCGGGGCGCGGCGTACATCGCGCGCGTTCGTGTTTCTCGCCGACGTTGCTCAATACGCGGCAGGGGTAGGACGCAGCTCGTGTCGCGCGCAGAACGTCTAGTCGCCCGCGATATTATAAGATGAGCGACCGGCGTCGGACGCGACGCACTTGCTTCTTATGTTGTGGGAGGGCGGGTGGGAGTGGACGGAACCTTCTGGTTCGTTCGAGCTGGCTGACTTACCCCTGACCTAACCCCTAATCCCATACTCCCACCCTTAACCCTTACCTTAATCCTTAACCCCAGCCCTATGCCCCCACCCTACCCTTGAATTTCTACCCGAACCCTTAACCGTAACCTTAAGCCCTAATATTAACCCGAAGCCCTAACCCTAACCCTCCAACCCAACCCTGACCCCTACCCTAACCCTAACCCCTACTTTAACCCCCACGCTAACCCCTAACCCTAACCCCTACCTTAATAGACCCTAGCCCGGACCTGACCCCGAATCGTAACCCCAACCCCCACCCGAACCCTAACCTAGCTTCAGCCCTGCACCATCACCCCCAAACCTTAACCCCAACCCTAACCCAACCCCCTGACCTTAAGCCTAAACCCGAACCCGAACCCCAAATCCGAAC